AACACGTGCTGCGAGTTTATTTACTAAATACTTACTACAAAGTCAACAAGTGCAGTGAAAAAGTAGTCCGCTTTGAAAAAATGTTTCTGGAATGGCCGAATGGTAGGTTAGCAAAAATCCAGTACTCGAGCCTTGCGTATTCACAACTGGCAAGTCTTAAGTGCAACGCTTGGACACTACTATACCCTATATTAGGGAGCTTAAGCAACTACTACTACTACGACGACGACAACTTCAAAAAACAATAGGTTTAATGTTCAAAACAACAGCTCTGCACGTGCATCAAGCTGTTTAGTACATTTCTCTGACGTCCACTGCACGACTACGACGTGAAACCTCCTAATTTGACGTTTTATGGAGGACGTGGACATACGACGACGAATTTTCCTTCCTCGTTTTGAACCTGAATAAAATCCTTAAGAATTCAACTCCAGGAAAAGTCGCCTGCATTTGACATATTGAGCGGATCCAAATAGACGCGATTAAGTTTGAAAGAACGCAAATTCAGTTTTTTAGCGACGTTTTCACTGCCGTCGTCGTCGTCGTTGCTTAAGGTCCCTGTTACCTTTCAGTCACTGACCTTTTGGCTGATAAAATTAGTGAAAGAACAAAGTTTGATTTTGTGCAATAGTTAATTTACTGCGTGTGTTATTTTGAAAGAACATTAAATATTCACCCACCATTTGTTGTGTCAGTTGCTGTGCTAATAATTAATATTCATAAGTGTAAGTCACGTGCAGTGACTTCATATCTGATAAAACACCGCATACTAATAAGGGGAGATTTTATCGATATAAAGTCACTGTAAGTGATGTATGATCGACTATTTGATAGGTCAATGGCCTTATGAATTATTAATTAGTTTTTGAAGGATCACACAACGCCCTCTGGGTTAGTGGGTTAATAAGTGATAGTGTTCATTTTTCGACAAAGAAAACTACCCATTTTATGAACTAGGGCGTGCCTTGAGGCAGCCCAGTTAATAAAAGTAGAGGGGATTGGGTCAATTGCTGGATGAGTTTTTTTACTTTTACGTACAGCTGTGTATTATCCCCTGAAAAGAGGACGTATTCCTATTGAGTTTTCATAACGGACCGATGTAGTCTGATACCAGAAAGACATAGTTGGACTCGGTGGAACTATTAACAAAGGGGAAATGTCGCATTAAGCTGTTTATTGATTAAAGTCTTGCTAGTAGAGGACACGGACCAAAGAAACTTACAAAATCACAAGATATAGTTAAACAAACATCTGCTCGTAAATTCTTCATATTTGCAGCATTGCGAGTTTTCACTGATGCTGAGCTTTTTATCTCCCTGAATCTAGGGCTTGCAGCCTAGATTACAGGTTTGTTTCCTGTAAAACTGATGGCAAGGTGTTTGAAAAAATAAATTAAAAACGGAAAATAAATAACAGTTGTTTGTCTTGTTCAGCAGACGCGATGAACTTGTATTAGAGTGGATGTGACATGGAAGACAGAGTCTTCCCTCAGTACCTCACAACCTTATCCCCACACGCGGGCTCGTTACCCGTAGAAAGAATATACATACAAAAATTTGATAACTAACCTGTTTGGTTAAGACAGTTGATAAAGTTTTCGCTCTATGGAAAACAGAACGCATAGCAAACATTTGGGAGCTTAAGCAGCGACGTTTTTGAGCGACGCACGTCAACCGGAGGTGAGCCTTTTGCTCTTTTAATAAGCCTTGACGCTACCGTATTTATATTGCCATGTGTCTTAATTCTTATAGAGACAAACTGCCCAAAAATTTGTTCAAAATCACGGCTCAAGAGCGCAAAACGTCCATTTCCGGTTGACGTGCGTCGCTCAAAAACGTTAAATATCCTAGGTGACGTAGGGAGCTACCTACATGATATCAATCTTTAAAGTGACAGAACAAAAGATGAAGTAATGAATCGAAATGAAGTTTCTGATCGGTCAACAAGGGAAAGATTAACGGCTTATAGAGTGTCAGAGGCTATACAATGCAGTACCAGGCAGTACCGAAGCTTCTTTGGAAAGGCGAGGAAGTGTAAAATAGAAACGCATGCAAAATGGCTGACAACCGGATAAAGTTATTGTTAACCATCAATGAAATTGCTCGTGCAATTTTAACTTTTGAAACATTATTCGTGCCATAAATAAAGACTCGAAATGAACTCGAATTCATACGATTTTCTATACTTACTACATTTATGGTTTATAATTTATTACATTTATGGTTCGGGTTTTAATTGACTTTTATTACATTTATGGTCAGTGTTACTGTTATTTAGCAATTATTGAATGAGGCTGAGTAGGATGTGAAGAATTATGCAGATTGAGGAGGATATTATCGGCCGAGGTTAATAACATCCTCCAAGATCTGCATAATTCTTTTCATCTTACGAAAGCCGAAATTAATCATTCAAAATATTTCTAATTTGTTATAAAAAAGCTTACCTTCTCGAAGACCGTCTTCAAAACTTTGGCCTTTTTCTCGGCATGGTTTCACGATATAACATATGTTTTT